AACCTATGATCGCGTTGGATAAAAACTGCAATATTTATACGTGTGCATGTAAAACAAATTTCTTGATAGAGGGGTCTAAATACAGCACAAACAACATTTTCCAAAAGACCAAAAAGTGAAAAGTATATTTTAACAAAACGCATTTGACTAACAGGGCGAACAACTGATGTTCTTAAACCCTGCTGACTGCCATTGGCGATTGCCAAATTAATTGATCACCAGATGTAACATGGATCGTAATTATTAATTTAATACCAAACAGAAAACAATAAACTTGCGGAACAGATGCTATATCGCAAAAATGAAGTGCAAAAATTTGTACACCATATCCGGATTTCGACAATTAATCATGTCTCTTCAGTGATGTGAGGGATCGAAAACGGTATTTAAAAGGCTATATAATTTACCTCAATTTAGGATAGACTCTTGAATTTTAAAGAGTCGAAATAGGATGAACGGATCATATAAGCCCGAAGGAAAATATAATACAAGCCCAAACGAAAAAATATAAACAAGTCTAAATTGAAAACAACGTTCAAACCTATGATTGCGTTGGATAAAAACCGCAAGTTTTATACGTGTGCATGTAAAACAAAGTTCTTGATAGTAGGGTCTAAATACAGCACAAACAACATTTTCTAAAAAACCAAAAAAGTGAAAAAGTATATTTTAACAAAACGCATTTGACTAACAGGTCGAACAACGGATATTCTTAAACCCTGCTGACTGTCCTGGTGATTGCCAAAAAAAAAAAACGAATCACCAGGTGTAAAAAAATGGATCTTAATGATTAATTTAATACCAAACAGAAAACAATAATCTTGCGGAAAAGATGGTATACCGCAAACATGAGGTGCAAAAAATTGTACACCATATCCGGATTTTGACAATTAATGTCTCTTCAGTGATTTTAGGAATCGGAACGGTATTTGGAAGGCCATATAATTTACCTCAATTTAGGATTGATTCTGGAATTTTGAAGAGTCGAAATAGGATTAACAGATTATATAAACCCGAAGGCAAATATAATACAAGACCAAACGAAAAAATATAAACAAGTCTAAATTTAAAACAACGTTCAAACCATGATTGCGTTGTATAAAAACCGCAATATTTATACGTGTGCATGTAAAAAAAATTTCTTGATAGAGGGGTCTAAATACAGCACAAACAACATTTTCGAAAAGACCAAAAAGTGAAAAGTATATTTTAACAGAACGCATTTGACTAACAGGTCGAACAACTGATGTTTTTAAACCCTGCTGACTGCCATTGGCGATTGCCAAATTAATTGATCACCAGATGTAACATGGATCCTAATTATCAATTTAATACCAAACAGAAAACAATAAACATGCGGAACAGATGCTATATCGCAAACATGAAGTGCAAAAATTTGTACACCATATCCGGATTTCGACAATTAATGTCTCTTCAGTGATGTGAAGGATCGAAACGGTATTTGGAAGGCCGTATAATTTACCTCAATTTAGGATAGACTCTTGAATTTTAAAGAGTCGAAATAGGATGAACGGATCATATAAGCCCGAAGAAAAATATAATACAAGCCCAAACGAAAAAAAATATACAATTCTAAATCGAAAACAACGTTCAAACCTATGATTGCGTCTGATAAAAACCGCAAGTTTTATACCTGTGCATGTAAAACAAATTTCTTGATAGGGGGTCTAAATACACCACAAACAACATTTTCTAAAAGACCAAAAAAGTGAAAAAGTATATTTTAACAAAACGCATTTGACTAACAGGTCGAACAACTGATGTTCTTAAATCCTGTTGACTGCCATTGGCGATTGCCAAATAAATTGATCACCAGATGTAACATCGATCGTTATTATAAATTTAAAACCAAACAGAAAACAATAAACTTGCGGAAAAGATGGTATATCGCAAACATGAGGTGCAAAAATTTGTACACCATATCCGGATTTCGACAATTAATGTCTCTTCAGTGATGTGAGGGATCGAAACGGTATTTGGAAGGCTATATAATTTACCTCAATTTAGGATACTAGTAGACTCTTGAATTTTAAAGAGTCGAAATAGGATGAACGGATCATTTAAACCCGAAGGCAAATATAATACAAGCCCAAACGAAAAAATATAAACAAGTCTAAATTGAAAACAACGTTCAGACATATGATTGCGTTGGATAAAAACCGCAATTTTTATACGTGTGCATGTAAAACAAAGTTCTTGATAGTAGGGTCTAAATACAGCACAAACAACATTTTCGAAAAGACCAAAAAAGTGAAAAAGTATATTTTAACAAAACACATTTGACTAGCAGGTCGAACAACGGATGTTCTTAAACCCTGTTGACTGCCATGGCGATTGCCAAATAAACGGATCACCAGATGTAACAAAATGGATCTTAATTATTAATTTAATACCATATAGAAAACAATAAACTTGCGGAAAAGATGGTATATCGCAAACATGAGGTGCAAAAATTTGTACACCATATCCGGATTTCGACAATTAATGTCTCTTCAGTGATGTGAGAGATCGAAACGGTATTTGGAAGGTCATATAATTTACCTCAATTTAGGATAGTCTCTTGAATATTAAAGAGTTGAAATAGGATGAACGGATCATATAACCCCGAAGGAAAATATGATACAAGCTCAGACGAAAAAATATAAACAAGTCTAAATTGAAAACAACGTTCAAACCTATGATTGCGTTGGATAAAAACCGCAAGTTTTATACGTGTGCATGTAAAACAAAGTTCTTGATAGTAGGGTCTAAATACAGCACAAACAACATTTTCTAAAAGACCTAAAAAGTGAAAAAGTATATTTTAACAAAACGCATTTGACTAACAGGTCGAACAACGGATATTCTTAAACCCTGCTGACTGTCCTGGTGATTGCCAAAAAAAAAAACGAATCACCAGGTGTAAAAAAATGGATCTTAATGATTAATTTAATACCAAACAGAAAACAATAATCTTGCGGAAAAGATGGTATACCGCAAACATGAGGTGCAAAAAATTGTACACCATATCCGGATTTTGACAATTAATGTCTCTTCAGTGATTTTAGGAATCGGAACGGTATTTGGAAGGCCATATAATTTACCTCAATTTAGGATTGATTCTGGAATTTTGAAGAGTCGAAATAGGATGAACAGATTATATAAACCCGAAGGCAAATATAATACAAGCCCAAACGAAAAAATATAAACAAGTCTAAATTGAAAACAACGTTCAAACCTATGATTGCGTTGGATAAAAACCGCAATATTTATACGTGTGCATGTAAAACAAATTTCTTGATAGAGGGGTCTAAATACAGCACAAACAACATTTTCCAAAAGACCAAAAAGTGAAAAGTATATTTTAACAAAACGCATTTGACTGACAGGTCGAACAACTGATGTTCTTAAACCCTGCTGACTGCCATTGGCGATTGCCAAATTAATTGATCACCAGATGTAACATGGATCCTAATTATCAATTTAATACCAAACAGAAAACAATAAACATGCGGAACAGATGCTATATCGCAAACATGAAGTGCAAAAATTTGTACACCATATCCGGATTTCGACAATTAATGTCTCTTCAGTGATGTGAGGGATCGAAACGGTATTTGGAAGGCCATATAATTTACCTCAATTTAGGATACTAGTAGACTCTTGAATTTTAAAGAGTCGAAATAGGATGAACGGATCATATAAACCCGAAGGCAAATATAATAGAAGCCCAAACGAAAAAACATAAACAAGTCTAAATTGAAAACAACGTTCAGACCTATGATTGCGTTGGATAAAAACCGCAATTTTTATACGTGTGCATGTAAAACAAAGTTCTTGATAGTAGGGTCTAAATACAGCACAAACAACATTTTCGAAAAGACCAAAAAAGTGAAAAAGTATATTTTAACAAAACACTTTTGACTAGCAGGTCGAACAACGGATGTTCTTAAACCCTGTTGACTGCCATGGCGATTGCCAAATAAACGGATCACCAGATGTAACAAAATGGATCTTAATTATTAATTTAATACCATAAAGAAAACAATAAACTTGCGGAAAAGATGGTATATCGCAAACATGAGGTGCAAAAATTTGTACACCATATCCGGATTTCGACAATTAATGTCTCTTCAGTGATGTTAGGAATCGAAACGGTATATATATATATATATATAAGTTCGTCTAAACAAGTGACAACTCTATGACAGATCCATCCATTGGATCACCAGTGAAGGTGATACACGGCTGAAAACACATATTATATTCATAATTACTCTAAATATCAGCACAACAATGTTAAATCTGCAAATTTGCGGAAGCAGATTTTTTTCTTCCCTCGCCGGGATTCGAAATATCTGCAAATTTGCGGCGAGGGAAGAACAAAAATTTGCTTCCGCAAATTTTCAGATTTAACATTGTTGTGCTGTTATATATAGATATATATATATGCTAAAATGCTAGTAAAAGTGGCAAAGGACAAAAAATTATGTATAAGGTACATTTTGGGAAAGCGCTGTAAATTATCGACATATTGAACATTCTGATATTGAGTGTTAATACTGAATTGTAAAGTATGTGCAAGTCATTCATATATTATCTTATTAGGATATAAAACAATTAAAATTAACCAAACAAATACTATTTCTTCTTAAAAAATATAAAAAACAAAATCCCCTACCCTTCCCCTTTTTCAATCCGTCCCAAAATTAAAATTTTTTAACTAACACTCATCCATTCCACATGAAATAGAAGTACGTCGTTTGTTGCAAAAGACAGTTAAATAAACACGTTCAGCTAGCCTATATTCAAAAAGGGAACCCAAAAAACCAAACCTAAAGCTATCGATGTGATCAAAGAAAAGAAACCATTTTTTTTTTGTTTAACTTTATGTTGCATTATGTAACCATGGAAGTATTATATATCTATGTCTCTTCCATGATCAGATACTCTAACCTAGTATAAAACTTGTCATTTTTGTAGTAATGAGTCTAATCGAGATAACATAACTGTGCCGTCCGGCACGTGATATAAAATACACATATATCAAATAACAACATAGTCCAAGTACTGAAGAAAATATTTAACACACAATATTATTATTTCCTGGTAGAATTACCTGGTAAGTCTTAATATATATATTTGTTTATATCTTTTAATCAAATTTGAAAAAAAAATTTTTAATACAAATTCCTTTATATTAAAAAATCGCATTTCCGTTTATTTTAATTTTATACAATATATAGTAAGAAAGGATAATCTATTTTCATTTTCATTTTTTGAATGTAAGGTCATTAAGTTGTCAATGTGAATCATTGTAATCAGTAACCCAAGTTTATTCATTGAATTGATTGATTAATTGATTGTTGTTTGCTTAATATCCAGTTTTATTCATTGGAGATGGTATACATACATGTACCAGTCAACATTATTCCATTTATCAAAAATTGAAATAACATAATTCTACCTGTTTTTGTTTACTTTCAGACAGGTTCACCTGCATAGTTCAGATACAACACTGGAACCAGAGGTGACGTCTCAGTATCTAAAGTTTTCGAACAAAAACGAGAACACGTCATGTTCATCTAAATTTATATGATGATTTTGATAAGGTATTTGTAATCGGTACCATGGCAACAGCTGGGCGGAAACCCGTTGCCGTTGTAGTGGCTTTAGATTTTGGTACAACATATTCAGGCTACGCATTCTCTTCTGTCAAAGATTATAAGACAAGCAAACTTAATATAACAATCAATCAAGCATGGAATTCTGGGAAAAATCAACTTTCTTCATTCAAAACACCAACAAGTTTATTGCTGAAAAGGAATGGTGATTTTGTGTCCTATGGTTACGAAGCAGAACAGGCCTATGAAAATAATTTACTGGACAAAACCACTGATAAACACGAGTTCTTGTATTTTCGTCAATTCAAAATGGAATTGTATGCCAGAAAAGTAAGTCGAATTCATGTTCACCGATTTGACTCAAATTCTCATATTTCATTCATAACATACTAAAACGTATATTCAAATTACAAAAAGCCTAAAATAAACAATTAACAATGCATGGACTCGATAATATATATAAGCATTTCGTGTGTATTTTAGTCTACACGCCATCTAATTAACCATCGAGATGACCTCCGAAGACTGCCGACCTTCATATAACCCGATATAAACATAAATTTAAATATAAATAGATAGCGACCGTGTGCAATTGAATTTTTCTAGGTCTGTTTGACTTTATGTTATAGGTTGAAAAAATAAGTTAATCATCGTTTTTACCTGAACAAGAATGATTTTTTGTGGATCGAATCAGTCAACGAAATGGTTCACTCTTCAAAGTTGTTTCACTTTCAATGTTGACATTCTTTTCCTTTCAATAGCTGAACACGCCTAGTACATGCGATACCCATCTCCAGCTAAGGGTTCACATGAGGTCGAATTATTTACTTGGAAGTCAATAATACATAATATTTTTTTGTCTAAATGGTAGCTAATGCCCCTTTAACAAAGATTCTGAGAATTCTATTGATATTTATCATTACTTTTGTAAAAAAAAACTGATCTAAACAGAAGAAAGCAAAAGCAACAGACTGATATTATCAGACTGCTTACAACAAGTATTTGGTTGACATGATAGAACGCAGTGACGTGGTTTGAAAATATTAAGAAATGTATGTGATTGTTAGGGAAGCACTACTTACCAATGCTTTGATTCATTTGTTTCTCATTAGGATTCTATTTGTTGGATCGATTTGAATACACAGTAGAGACATCCATCTTCTTAAAAAGGCTTGAATATCTTATATATATAAAAATGACTATCGACTTTATTAAAAATAATACTAATTTTATGCATATGTCTCTTTTTCAAAGGCACATTCCAATATGAAATTGAAAGATATCCACGGAATAGAACATTCAGCAATAGATGTGTTTACACAGTCGATCAGAGCTTTAAGACAAAGTTGTTTGTGTACTCTGAAAGAGCAAGGGTATGAACTGGATAACGATGAGATTAAATGGTGTCTCACAGTACCCGCGATATGGACCGACGAGGCCAAAATCTTCATGCGAACTTCATGCGAGAAGGTAAATCAAGAATTATTTTGTATACTAATTAGGTATTATGGATAGAACATTAAAAGAAAACGAAGATGCGCAACATGCACATTTTGACAAATAATTTCTTACATATAACGATCTAATCGAAAATATCTTAAATATTAATGAATTAGGGACAAAAAGTGAAAAAAGGAAAGCTGAAACGCAGGAAGTTGACAAAAATTGTACTAAAAACCAAAACTATAAACATTGTATAAACTTGGGGGATATCATCCTTGATTCAAAAATCATTTCTCAAAATTATCACTTTAAAGAAGTTAGATGACTTACAGGGTAGCTGCCCTTAATGCCGCCGAGTGAGGCCAGAATAGTATCTGCTCGATTGATTATCTAAAATCCGAGTGAACAATGTCGGGTTTTTCGTTGCTTTTTCATTCTTTAATAGTTTCAAGATAAAGTCAAAGTATGTTTTGTTTGATTTAATATTGAAAATAATTTCAAACTGTTTGGACCTGCAAGATGATTGGCTAACAGTTTTGTAAAAAATGTCTGTTCCTCCGATGCAGTGATACCTCCATATAGATATTATTTCCAGGCCGGTATACCAGCATATAGATTAGTTATAGCACTTGAACCTGAGGTAGCGTCTCTGTATTGTCAAGTATGGTGCGCAGAAAGTGAAAAGAAGAGTGCTTTTCGTCCCCGTACCAAATGTTTGGTGGTTGATTTAGGAGGTAGGTATAACCAATCATCTGGAATTTTGTTCTGATGAGATAAAGATTAAACTATGAAAATAAAGATTAAAAAAGGAGGGACAATGGTGTTTCCGTTTGTTTGGGTTTTTTTTTTGCTGATAACTACTTAATTTCTTTATGTTTGCACAGTTTTTGGGATTAAGTTTAATGGACAGAGTTTCCAGTTTAAACGTTGAATTCAAATACATATAAACACACCATACGCATATTCACCAACTATTGCATCTTCAACACGAAGGTACATTTAGAGCTTCCCCTATGGTTAAGGGTCTTATACAATGTTGTCATATAGTGTTTATAATTTATTAATGTATGGTCTGTTGCTGCCTTCGTGTACCACATTATTCTTTATGTACTTTCCAAAATTCTCGTCGACATAAAATGGATAAGTGATAAGTAAATTGTTCACAAACTAAATCTTACTCGACACTGTTGACATAGGATAACCTCTATAGATGTGTTACTATTTCTTATTTTTGTGAATACATGTTTGGTAGCTGTAAAATAAACGAAACCTAGTGCTTAGTTCATATTTCTTCATGTGTTCTCCTTAAAATAAAGTACTGTTGACAAGGAAAATCTCACCCAAAATATGTTTTCAGGGGGAACAGCGGATATCAGCGGACATGAAATTCTTAAAAAAGGTCTTTTCAAAGAGATATGCAAATCTGCAGGTAATAATTGCGGTGGGACATGTGTTGACAAAGAATTCTTAAACGTTCTTCAGGTCATTCTGGGAACAGATCGTATGGACACATTCAAGACCAAATATGAAACAGAGTATCTTGACTTGCAGCATTCTTTTGAATCTGCCAAAAGAATTATCACAAGAAATGAGACGGATAAGGTTAACATTCAGATTCCGATTTCAGCCCTTGACGAAATATGTGGAGATGATGGCTTTCTGAAAATAGTGCAAAATTCAGAATATTCTGACAGAATAACGATTGAAAGAGGGAAAATGCGTTTGGTTCCTGATTTTGCAAGATCATTATTCATAAAATCTAGTGAAAGCATAATCTTAAAAATAGAGAGTGTTCTCGCTCAAAATGAGGCGGCAAATATTTCTGTCCTTTTGCTCGTTGGCGGATTTGCAGAGAGCAAAATTGTTCAAGACAAAATAAAGCAAACGTTTTCTAAGAAAACCGTTATCACTCCAAAAGATCCAACCTTAGCCGTTTTGAAGGGAGCTGTTCTTTTTGGACACCAACCGGATGTTGTATCAACTAGAACAACACAGTTTGCATATGGAAGAAAAATAAAACCGATCTTTGACAAAAAGCAACACGAGGAAAGAAAACGTGTGCTGGTAAACGGTGAAATGAGGTGTGATGGAGTTTTTGAACTTCTGGTGAAATCTGGAACTTCCGTTCCAATTGGGAAAAATATTTCAAAACTTTATCACACTATCAACAAGAATCAGGAGAAAATTCGTGTTGCCTTGTACAAATCGTGCAGCGACGACACCAAGTATATAGACGACGAAGATTGTAGCTTTGTAGGGGAATGTTTTATAACAGTTCCGAACCCATGTGAACAAAAAAGAACTGTAAAAGTCGAATTCGAATTTGGGGACACAGAAATATTCATAACTGCTACTGACAAAAATACCAAAGAAGTTTCAAAGGAAACATTCCGTCTAGAATGATACAAGTGAGATATCTCAGATGGACATTTGCCATTTCATATAGATGATGAAGAAGTATTTCCCTTTTAAGATGACATGAATTAAATTCAAATTACTTGTAATGCTTATTTTAATATTTCAACAATATTTCAATAATAATAACAACAATAATAAAACATAACGAAGTCTTTATATGTAAGTAGCATAATGATGAGAGTATTACTGTAACAAACGCATGGTAAGGTACTTATACAGAGGATAAAAAGGTGTACAATAGTCGCATAGATACCATAAAGTGAGAACAAGTGAGTCGGAAGGATAAGTATCTCCTGGTATGCATGTTTCATTCGTCATGATATTTCGAAGTTAAAGCTAGAAGCCATGTCACAGACAAGAAAAGTAGCAAAACTATACACTTCAAACCAGTAAAAGTCTGAAATGGCCTATATATGTACTCGACTGTACTGATTTTTACTCGACCAGTCTGAATTGGTCTGAAATGTACTTGATATTACTCGACTGTAGTCTGAACCATACTTAACAGTCTGAACTTGTACTCGACCTTTACTCGACCAGTACTTAACCATTTTATATGTGTCTGAACAATGCTTGACCAAGTCTGAACCATGCTCGACCTAGTCTAAACCATACTCGACCTAGTCTGAACCATACTCGACCAAGTCTAAACCAACCTAGACCTATTTTTTGTATCTATCTATTATATTTCATCAATTTAGGAACTGTTTTTAACAACAGATATGGTTAAGATTGGGGTCGAGTAATATCGAGTAAAATTCAGACCAATTCAGACTGGTCGAGTAAAAATCAGTACAGTCGAGTACAGATATAGGCCATTTCAGACTTTTACTGGTTTGTAGTGATACCAGTTAGAAAAAATTATTTAGAGTCGGTTTATATGTACCATTTCACAGACCAACTTTTAATTGACGCAACCAAATTGTCTGATGTACATGAGGACTCGTAAGACTAAGTAAACTGTTTAAATGAGTTTAGGCAATAGAATTGTGGAATTATAAGACAGGATTACTGTATACAATTTACCTATATGAGATTTTTTTCAAGTAACCTATTGCATCGTCTGCACGTTTAGGACATTCTATGTTATTTTTAGTTTCTTCTCTTTTCTTGCAATGTGTATGAATTCATTAACATGGAATAGTGTTAGGGCATTCTTCTCTCTATAATTTATGACAAATTAGATTTTGAGCGAACATGTTAATGATAATTTACATCTCTATGATGCAGAAAGCGCGATTCGAATTAAAAAAAAAGTAGTGTTTATAATATTTATTAATAACGACATATGGCGCAGTATTTAGTGCTACCATGGAAGTATTATATTGCCAATATAATACTAGTATCCCCATGTTGCTACGCATGTCTAGTTACTTTATGGTTACTCCCGAAACACGACTTGGTAACAAAGTTTTCCCATGCTAAAAAAATAGTTCGGGTTTAGTATCTTGGTTCGTATTCAATTGATTGTATTTAAATTCCATAAATAATTAATTAGTAATTTTAAAATTCAAATAATAGCATTTTGAAACTTTAAGAATTTGAGTGCTAAACTGTCTGTTTTTCGTGAAGGTCGCATGTCCTTTGATGTTCAATGGTATAGTACATAAAGATCATTTGCTTACTTATATTTTTCTATATTTCTAATTGTTTAACACTCAGAATACAAACCAGATGCATTTGGGAACACTCTGGGTCAAATTATTGCATTTTTAGGGATATAATATTTTTTTTCAGTAATAGTGGGATAATATGTATATACTATGGTAGAGATTCAGATTAGAATTTTACTATCAAAATAACCCCCTCAGAAACATCTTTGGTGTATTTTGGCTCTAGATATGAAATGCCTTTGACAACAGTTACATGTATATGACGTAGATTTAAGCAGCAAAAGGTCATCGTTCGGCCTTGAACAAAACATATACCGTATAGTAAGCTAAAAAAGGTCCCGACACGACAACATGTAAAACAATTCAAATGAGAAAACCAACGGCATGATTTATGAAAAAAACAGTTAACGAAAAAAAAATATGACAAACAGCAGCCAACGACACCCACTGAATTACAGGATCCTCCACTAAGTCAGGGACATAAAGAATGTGGCTGGTTCAAGCATGTTTATGAGCCCTTAATTCTCTTCCTAACCCTTCCTAACCTGAGACAATGGTGTAACTGCACAACCTAAGAACAAACTGTAAAAATCAGTTGGAAATGGCTTAACTCAAAAGATTGGTACGAAGCACACAAAAAAAAAACCCAACTAACATAAAAGCATAAAATTGTTGCAAGACACAATATTCTGATTTTTATAGTGAAACATCCAAGTAATTTAAAGTGGGGGAAAGCTATAATATTTTGTCCTGATTCTCTGTTTTGAAGGAAAAACTGTATTGCCAGACAAAAGATAGAAAACAATTATTCTGAATAAATTCATTTCACAGTAAAATTGTTGAAAAAATAATCTGCTTATCAGCGGTCAAAATGTCATGAAACAAGGGAAAAAATATAGCACCCCTTTTATAAAATTCATATAATAAAGTATTTAACAAAGTGACTTGTATTTTTCATACATGTTAACAATTCATTTGGTTTTTTTTTTGTTGCCGGGTCTTTAAATGCAAATAAAAATGTATAATAATGGAATAAAAAATCCTTCAACTAATAATTTTGTTCTCGAGCTTTTGTTGGTTTATTCCCGATTGTCCCACTTTTTAAAATTTTAGAGTTCTGATTGTCCCACATGAAAAGTTCTGATTGTCCCACATTATTTTATGAATAAAATGTTCTTAGATAAACAAGGTAACTGTTGTTTGTTTTGCTAAAAAAACAAGAAATAATTATTGCACATTTAATATTAATTTTATAAAAGTATTAAAAAAAATGTTTTTTAAATAATTAGATTAATGCACTTTTGATTAAACAAATATAATATTTCTGATTTATGAAATATATCTACAATGTTACGTTATTCATAAAACAAATGTCAATACCGTAATTTTAATTCCTTTTTCTCTGTAAAGTTTTTGAATAAATTTAGAAATAATGCATGCAATTTCAAAAAAAAGGTATAAACTCATTTACATTCTACACTCTACATGAACTTGTTTACTAGGGAAGTCGGAGGACATTAATACAACATTCTCTGCACTATTGAAGACTGCTTACACCCAACGTCAGATTCACCTGAACCCAACAACTGTCTTTATTGTTACGAAGCTGATGTCTATAATTTTGCCAGATCAGCCTTTCCAAGAATCACTATTAAAGGTTGTTTTTCCAATATTCCCATTGCTTTTGCAGTCAACAGGACTCTTCACCAACTATAAAGTAGAAACAGACTTCCATAAAAAATGAGAAGATGTGGTATGATTGCCAATGAGACAACTCTCCCAAAGAGACCAAATGACACAGAAATTAACAACTATAGGTCACCATACGGCCTTCAACAATTAGCAAAGCTCATACCGCATAGCTATTATAATAAAAGACCCCAAAATGGCAAATGTAAAACAATTCAAACGAGAAAACTAATGGCATAATTTATGTACAAAATAATGAACGAAAAATAAATATGTTACACAGCAACAAACGGCAACCACTGAATACCAGGCTCCTGACTTGGGACAGGCACATACAGAATTTTGTGGGGTTAAACTTATTTGAAGGCGCCAACCCTCCCAATAACCTGGAACAGTGTTGAAACAGAACAACATAAGAATAAACTATAAAAATCAGTTGAAAAAGGCTTTTCTCATCAGATGGGTACAAACAGAAATACATCTAACAAAAACACAGAGTGGACGTGGACAGCTACTTATGCATCACCACAACAAAGACACTGAGTACTGTAACAGGTCTGAGAGTATTCGCAGTTACTGACAGCTAGTTCAAAGCCAATAAAAACTAATTAAAAAAAATATGCATCTAAGACTAAAATTTTATGACTTCATATTATATTCCGTGTTTGATGATACTATAATTGTACCTACTATGTGCAAAATGAAATATGTAAATATTATTATTTGTTCATGTTTTTTCATATTTTATAAGTTACATTGTTTAGTGACCTTTAATTAACTGCAACACACTATAAAAACAAATTAATCACTATCAAAACAATTCCCAATTGTCCCACATTTAAACTTCCCAATTGTCCCACAAACATATTCCCGATTGTCCCACAAAATTTCATTACTTTTTTACCTGTAATTTCAAAAAGTGGGACAATCGGGAAGACACCCTTTTGTTGCCGCGTATAACATAAAACCTTAAAATAGGCATTATCTGATATAGTAATTATGAAAACTTCCAGTTTATTTTTAGAGGAAAATTTTACCTGTGTTCAATCTTATGACGTACAAATTAATAATGAACTTCCTATTTGATATATCGATCAACAGATTTTAACAAGAATGATAATATTCAGATAACAGGTACAGAACTATATATATATATACATATATATAATACATGTATGTACAACACTGCTTGCATTACTGTCATCTGTATTTGATTCTTCCAAACAAATGGGTATCCATCTTTGAATTCTTGAATTATTGTTTCGTTTTGTTTGTTTTTATTTTGTTTGTTTTATTCCAAACCTCCATGGCTATGGCTAAAGTGTAACAAGTTTAATGGAAATTGGGTATAATTTATTAAAATATTATAATTAGTATACAGACATGACCATGCTAGTTACCGCAATTATAGAGTATTTATCAATTAATATATATTCTGCACTTTCATTTAACATGAGGGAATTTAAAATTATTGCCGTGTTTACACCTCAATCGTACTCTTTTAAGTACAGAAAAAAATGCTCCTGGTAAAATTTTAAGACATGGCAGGAACTAGAGGTAAAAAACAAAAAGGTAGAAAGTCGTCTTAATTTTAAGTTTAATCTTCCCATATAACACACGTCTTGAACTGGTCTTAAATTAAACAAACATATAAGTATGTTTACTTTATTTTCGGAAGAAATTCGTATGGTCGAATTTCACCCGCCCAAAAGAAATCCGAATAGACTATTTTGTGTAATCTTGTAATCCAACTATTTCAAAATGTTTATTTGAACTTCTATGCTTACATTTTCTTCAAGATACTTTTACTTTTGAAATAAACATCTTTCGTATTTTGTCAGTTTAGATTTTTAGTGGCATCTAGTCTATAAAATTTTACAATTTCAAGTTGTTTAAAAATATCGCAATTGGCGTAAAAACATAGACATAACACTTTATTTGTTTGTCCATATAAGTACACAATGTAACTAATTGTGTAATAAACCTCTTAAAAATCCTTAAAGTTATTCCTGATAAAAATTTCTGAGAGCAGGTATATTAAACTCTAAAGTATTGACAAAACACTGCAAGTTAAACACGTAACTCGATCAATCTTTTCGTGGTCATATTATTTTTTAAAAACAAGTAATATTGCAATTTAATACTTTTTTGCTTTTATATAATGCAAATATAATATATAATATATATCATAATATATAATGTTTTCCAGTTAAATGTTGTTATGTATAATACATTTGCTTTTATATGTTTATTTTTTTTAGTATTTTCGCTTTTTTGAAAAGAAAATCGATTATGACTTTGGAAAGGTTACATTTATAACCTCCTTTGTTTTTAATCTCAATTCGTGGAAAACGAAAGGAACAAAAAAGATGAAGAGAATGCACATCAAATAAGTTAATAAAATAGTAAACAGGAAACACTATACATAATAATGCATTTCAAATGGTGTTTGCAATTCGTGGAAAACAAAAAGAACAAAGAAAATGAGGAGAATGCACATCAAATAAGTTTATAAAATCGTAAACATGAAATACTATACATAATAATAGTTACCAAAGGGTGTTTGATGCTGAAAGGTTGCTTAGAGATATAGAAATGTCACCTTCCTATGATCTCCAGCTTTATACATATAATCTTCAATTTTAGTCGTGTACAGTGCAAAAAAATCATACCTAATATAATTTGTGTACGCGATGTAATACGGAAAAGAAAGCAAACGAATGATTTTATTCGTATTTGGAGTTTTAGATTAGCAAATTGTGAATAATCTTCTCCCAGTAAGAAAATAAATGATTGACAAGTATAAGATAATAAAAGCATGACCAAATACATCAATTTAGCCCAAAATAATTTTTTAAAATAAATTTTGAATATACTTCTTTGGTTGTCTGCGCATGCCTAGCTAGCTTTGTCTTGTGAATGATTCTTCTGATTATTCTGATTATATTATGTTTCCTTTTTTTGTAAACTGGATATATTTAAGAGATGTAAACTCGTACATTTGAGAGAGAGAGGTCTATTACTCAAAACCATCCACCACAATTAAATGAACATGAGACATCTTGCATATATTAATTGCTTATTTGGATACAGGTAGCAACAATGACAGTTAAACTGCATTTTGAATTCATCGTTAAAAACGATTAGACTCAGTACATTAAATTTGCATTTATTAATTTAGATTAGCATATTCATTCTCAAACGAAAAACCAAACGCTGAAAACTAAAGTCTGAGTAACACGAACAACCATTAAAAGTCCATGAGTGAAATCAGGTGCTATTGAAAGATAATCAGTTTTGGATTCACTATATCTCTAACTTATTTTCGACTTGACAAACAATATAAATAGACAAGCGATTAATACGGCACATATATCATAATGAATACTGATGACCTAGTATATGTATTCAAGGAATGGCTTGTGAAGAACCTGAAAACACATTATTGGTGGCAGCAATCGATTTTGGAACAACTTACAGTGGATATGCTTTTTCAACTAGAGATAGTTTCAAAAAAGATAAACTAGATATTAAGGCCAATCAAGTGTGGAATGCAGGTTCCAAACAACTATTGTCATTGAAAACACCCACATGTTTACTTTTGAAGAAGAACCAAGAAATAGTATCTTTTGGATATCAAGCAGAGAATGACTATGCTGCGGTGGTGACGGATAAGACGGAAGATGATTATTATTTCTTTCAGCAGTTTAAGATGAAGTTATATCGCTGTGAGGTTAGTTTTAACTGTTCAAAAACAATGTTTAGTTGTTTTCTTTCTGTTTCTTTTCTTTAGGTTTGCTATGTCCGTGTTATTGTCATATAGTGACCAAGGCATAATGTGTAAAAGAAAAAAAAGATGTTGTCCTTATATATAATACTCCCTTATTTAAAGAAATTATGTGTGATATAATTTAGTTTCAACAATTATAGTTATTTTTAAAAAATGTCTTGCATTAAGAAACAGCTTTAGAATACGTAAGCCCTCTCCCAAAAGAAGGATCATTATGTTACACATAAACAATGTAGTTCATACACAAACATAATGGCAAAACAATTTTCAAAACTATTTCAAAATTTGATAGAAGTTTGAATTAATTAGTAATGATCTACTGATAAATAACGTTATCCATAAACGAGCAAATATGTAGTCCAAACACTACATATAAAAATTAAGGAGATGTTGTATGATTGCCAATGAGACAACTATCCTCTCAAGTTCAAATGAAGTGGATGTAAGCAATAATAGGCAACCGTACGGCCTTCAACAATGAGAAAAACCCATACCGTATAGTCGCCTATAAAAGAACCCGACATGAAAAATATGAAACAATTCAATTGAGAAAACTAACGACCTAATTTATAACAAAACAATTTACGAAAAACAAATAACCAACGACATCCAATGAACTACAGGCTCCTGACTTGGGACAGGCACATAAAGAATGTGACGGGGTTAAACATGTTTGTGAGCACTCAACCCTCCCCCTAACGTGGGAAAGTAGTGTTACAGCACAACATAAGAACAAACTATCAAAATCAGTTGAAAATTGCTTAACTCATCACATCGATACAAAGCAGAAACACATCTAAAAAAAACACAGACCGGATGTGGCAGGGTATTTATTCATCCCTAACAACAAAAGACCCACAGTACAGATCTGAGAATACTCGTAGTTACTGACAGCTAGTTCAAATCCAAAACTAATAATAGAAATCATGTATCTAAGACTAATATATCAACCAGAACACATCGAACATCCAATGGATTTAGTGTAAACACGTCATTAACAGTCAGAGAAAAACATGACCTTGTACAATGCCAAAATATAGGTATCGACAGATTTTAGTACCGTGAAAGGGCATATGTGTATATCAATACTTTTTAGTATGGTTTTAATCTACTGACAACAAAATCAATATTTATACCAATAAAGACAATATTCAAAGATGTAATTACCGTGTTGAATTGGTAACCTTTTAGAATAAGTTTATTTAAAAGATTGATAAGTTTACCCGGATCGTATATGAATTTCCGGGCTCAGTAAACAACATCGCCGTAAAATTTAGGAAGTGCTATTCTGTCTGAAATAAGTTTTTTCAGGTACAGCTAAACTTACAAACCAAATCTTTGTATCTATGGAAGAATTTAGTAAAGGTTTTAAGTAATTTGTGGTAACGAAATCCCTGACTTAATAATTTACCAGTAATACATAGATTACGCTCATTGAAATTAATACAAAACGTCACACGGTGCCAAATAACATCACCTTCCAAAAAAAAAAAAAAAAAGAAAATTAACAATAGGGAAAGAAAAATCATCCCTTTCGTCGTAAATTTTTGTGTAAAGTTTCTGGTTTAAAACTGAAATGTCTTAATCTAGGAAAGGACACTTATTGCTGTTAATATTTGATTTATTTAATGTAAGTTCCTTTGGGTAAATTTTGGCAGTATATTTATAGAATTCTCGATTATTTAACGAAAAAATATCATAAAGATAACGGTAAGTGATGTTGAATTTATCAATTAAATGGAATTTTGACGGGTCTTTACTGAGTTTGGCCATAAACTGTGATTCATAACAGTACAAGATCAAGTCTGCTATAAAAGGGGCACAATTGGTGCCCATAGGAATAACTACAATCTGTCGATGAATTTTATTGCCGAAACGTACATAAATGTTGTCAAGAAGAAAATGTATGGCTTTAATCATCTCATCACACCTCCAGTAAGTTTATCTAGCATATTTACCTTTCTCATTTGAGAAAAAAGGCTTTATATGAGTTACAGCAAATACATTTGCAATCAGGTTTATCAAGCGACCATGCATTTGGTTAAATAGGAAAACGCTTGTTTGATAAGATTGTGTGGAAGTGTAGTATAGAGAGGGGGAAAAGTCAAAACTGTCAACCGAATCAAAAGGACCTTCAAAAGCACGTAGTTTATTCAAACATCCAAAGAATTTTTTACACTCCAAAAATGGTTAATTTCACTATTTTCATATGTTTTATTACAAAAATAATGATAAGTTCTTTGATAGTAGTTAAGGAACTCGTTAAAAGCACTGACAGATTAGTAGTAGAACACTTACTAGAGGCAGAGATGAAACGATATTTTACGGGTTTTTTGTGTAGTTTAGGTAACCAATACATTGTGGGACCTTCAAATGTTCAGAGGAGGCTTTAAGCTGAGCTGCGGTAGTGATATGACTCTCTGTGGTATATCATTATATGTGCAAATTGATAAACTAATTAGGTGTCGTATGTTGTCGTATGTTGTTGTCTGTTATAACTGTTTTTCTTTTCATTGTTGTAGTATAAATCAGACCGTTGGTTTCACTTTTGAATTGTATTCCGGGTCCTCTTATAGCTTACTTTACATTATAGGTTATAGTCTTTGTTGGAAGTCCGTACGGTGACCTGTAATTGTTCAAATGTTTGTTCCTTGCATAGTTTTTATGGAAAGTTGCCTCACTGGTAATCACAAGCATCCTCCTTATTTTTGTTGTTATACTGGTGATATCATAATTGATTTACATTAATAAGTTATATCATAATGGATTTAAATATTTTTTTTAAGTAATAACTTAATGAAAAAAAAAACTCAAGACATACTATTATTTATACAGAGCACATAATTGTGTTCTGTATCCCGGTTATATCGGGAAAATGCATTATGATATATCAGCATTGCGTGCAGTTTTATATTTTTACAAAAATAGGATTTTCGGTTATCTATTGATCCTTTCATGACACAGCAGTGGTGGATCCAGGGGGAGGGTTCCGGAGGTTGGAACCCCCTTTTTATGACGATCAATGCATTTGAATGGGGACATATAGTTGGAACCCCCCCCTCCTTTTAAAAATGGTTGGATCCGCCCCTGCACAGCCTATCCAATTACCAAATTTTCTCAAAAATGTCCTGTACAAATATGTACTTTTACAGAATCTAACATTAGATACTCCATTACTTGATGTTCGTGGACAGTCATTGCCAGCAGTTGTAGTTTTTGCTTCCTGTATAAAGGCTCTACGTGACCACCTACATAAGACACTTTCTGATAAGGGAGTACATGTGAACCAGGATGAAATTAAATGGGTACTGACAGTACCTGCCATATGGTCTGACGGAGCAAAACAGTTCATGAGAGAAAGTGCTAACAGGGTTCGTATCTTTTAGTTAATTAATACCATATTTTTAGGCGTGATGATAAACAATTTTATTTTTATTCCAGACACGTGTAAATTTATCAAGTCGAATATGATAACGCGTGTTTCTCTAATGTTTAATATAAACGAATAATGATTAAAGTAAAAAAGATCAGTGTTATTTTACATTTTGTCTAGATAAAATGTATTTTTCAAATTTTCCCGACAAAGGTATTCATGCTGAAAAAAACGATCAAGAAGATACTCCTCTTTAGTTTTTTCTCTGATATCTGGAACCGATAAATGGTCAATTAAATGAAAATGCAGTGGTATAAGTACATAATTTACAGATAGAGTATTTCACTTTTTTTTGGCAGTATCACACACGTATTTACCTGAGACACCAATATAGTAATAATAAAATAATAATAATAAAAAAAAATATCATGAACATATACTGTACTTAAATCATATGCTTTTTGTCGAGCCTGCGACTTTTGTCGTAAAAGCGAGAAATAGCGATCCTACATTCCGTCGGCGTCGTCGGCGGCGGCGGCGGCGTCCATAAATATTCACCCTGTGGTAAAAGTTTTTGAAATTTTAATAGCTTTCTTAAACTATCCCGCATTTCAACCAAACTTGGACAGAAGCTTGTTTATGATCATAAGATAGTATCCAGAAGAAAATTTTGTAATAAGAAAATCCTGTTTATCCGTATTTTACTCATATATGGACTTAGTTTTTCTGCCAGTTAACATAACATTCACTCTGTGGTTAACGTTTTTGAAATTTTAATAACTTTCTTAAACTATCCTAGATTTGTACCAAACTTGGACAGAAGATTGTTTATAATCATAAGATAGTATCCAGAAGAAAATTTTGTAATAAGAAAATCCTGTTTATCCGTATTTTACTCATATATGGACTTAGTTTTTCTGCCAGTTAACATAACATTCACGCTGTGGTTAAAGTTTTTGAAATTTTAATAACTTTCTTAAACTATCCTGGATTTATACCACACTTGGACAGAAGCTTCTTTATGATCAAAAGCTAGTATCTAGAAGGAAATTTTGTAAAAAAATTATTTCCTGTTTTTCCGTATATTACTTATAGATGGACTTAGTTTTATTCCAGTTAACATTACGTACAGTCTGCAGTTAAAGTTTTTAAAACATTTATTACATTCATAAACCTTCTTGGATTTTTACCAAACTTGAACAGAACTTCTTACAATCAAAAGATAGTATCTAGAGGAACAATCTTTAATATTTTTTCCCCATTTTTGTTGAGCCTGCGACTAACAGCAAAAGTAGGCGAGACACTGGGTTCCGCGGAACCCTTACGAATGTTTCTTTTTATTTTGATTGTTTGGAGAGAGTTTAACTGGTATCATATCACACAAATGTATTAAACATACAATTTTACTTGTTATTAACATTCAGTATATGATAAACACTCATTACAATATTCACGTGTATACATGTATGTTGACTGTATGCATTCGCCAATTTAAGCAATTTGAATGCAGTTTGAGTTTAAAACACCCAACATCTTCTTTTATTTATATGTATGTCTCCCTTATTTTAGGCAGGTATCAAAGATGATAAGCTTGTTATATCCTTGGAGCCGGAAGATGCTTCTATCTACTGCCAATGTTTATCCATGGCGAGTCAACAAGGCTTTCAAGAAGGATTTTCGAAGATACAGAAGGGAACAAAATATATGATAGTTGATTTAGGAGGTAAGTAATATTTGTCAACAACGATAGTTTATGTACAAAGCAAGCGTACTAGCATAACAAAAAATTCAAAACACGAGGGCTGAGTAGTTTTGTAAAATTTGCTTGTCGAGGGATTGATCTTGCCTATTAAGGCAACGAGACATTTTAATCACATATAGGGTCTGCTAACTCTTCCGGAGCACCTAAAATCACCCCCGTTTTTTGGCGGGTTTCGTGTTACTCAGTCTCTAGTTTTATATGTTGTGTTTTGTATACTGTTGTTTGTCTTTCGGTCTTTTTTTCTTTTTTTGTTGTCGGTTTATTTTCGACTTTGAATGTTCTTTAGTATTGTTCGCCTCTCTTTTATATCAATGGTTTGAGCTTTGCAAACAAGAATCATAAGTGGATGCAAGTTCAATGCTTTTTTTGTTTTTTGCTCTGTCGTTACTGTAGACCAATTTTGAGTAAGAAGTCCGTTTTTATTTGTAGGAGGGGAGAGAGGAAGGACAATAAAAATAATTAAGATCGCATTTTGATTTTTTTATTTGTTTTGACGAATTTAAATGTAAATCGCAACTAAGAAAAGGGATAACGTCTGTCAGATATCTAATACTATCATTGGTTTGTATATTTAGATCATTCCAGCTGTCTTCTATTAGCGATGTAAAGGATTTAAATTATTTTCTTTATAATGTTATCAACTTATTACTGACATTTTAGGCGGGACTGTGGATATTACTGCTCATAAGAAGTTAGAGGAACACAAGATGGTGGAGTTATGTAAAGCTACAGGGGACGACTGTGGTGGTACATCTGTAGATAAAGAATTCTTGCAAATATTCCATGATATCGTTGGAAAAGATGTTATGAATAGTTTGGCACGTGAAGAGGTAGATTCGTATCTTGATCTATGTAGATCATTTGAAGCAACAAAACGTAATACACTTGATGCTAGTAATATAAGGTCGAAAGTCACAATTACTTTTCCATTTGTTGCTATTGACAAACTTTGTAAATGTAAACGTGATAAAGAATTCGAAACTTTGCTTTTACAGTCTAAGTACTCTGACAAGATCACATTGAAGAATGATAAACTGGCAATTGATTTAGAATTTATGAAATCTTTATTCAGAAAGGTAATCGAAAGAACTATCAAATTGATAAGAAATACATTGTCCAATGGTAAGGCACGTGACATTTCTACATTACTACTTGTTGGCGGATTTTCCGAATGTCACTTAGTTCAGGAGGCAATTCGAAAGGCTTTCAGTGACAAAACGGTTATTTCTCCTGATGATCCTGGACTGGCGGTACTTAAAGGTGCCGTTTTGTTTGGACACATGCCAACTATCATCCACTCTAGATTCACAAGAAGGACATATGGACGTCGTATCAAACCTTTATTCAACAACTCATTTCATGACCGATCAAGACTTGTTGTTGAAGACGGCGAAGAAAGATGCGAAGGTGTTTTCGAGCCTTTTATGACTGCCAATGAATCCATTCAAGTTGGTACTAAGGTAAAAGTCAGTTACCATACCATACGAAAAAGACAAGACAAAATTAATGTTGCAATTTATGTAACGGAAGAAGAAAATATCCCAAAGTACGTTGATGAAAGAGGATGTAAAAAGATAGGCGAGTTTGTTATTGATATTCCGAATCCAACAGAAGACAGGCGCCATGGAATTGTCCAGTTTACATTTGGAGATACGGAAATCAAGGCAAAGGCTGTCGAGACAGAATCAAAAGCTGTTGTTAGAGCAAAGTTAAATCTTCTTTAAGATGCTTTTAAAGATGATGATTCTATTTTGTGTAATATTTTAGACAATGTGATTTTAATGTTCCGTTACTTAATTATGAATATCGATCTTGTTGCCGTAGATACTTTCTTTGTGTCGTTGCAAATAGCCTGAGAAAAGTAAACCATTTAAAAAAAAAATGCTTCTTAATATAAGAAAATAATTTAAAAGAGATGTGTTATGATGGCTCATGAGAAAACTTTGCACCAAAGACCAAAATACAAAGATATAAACAACTAAGGTCACCTTACGGCATTAAAAAATATGCGAAACCTATATCGAATAGTAAGCGACAAAATGCCCCGGCATGACAAAATATGACCCAATTCAAAGTATGAAATAGATTTTGTTTTAAATTGAATTATACTGACTATACATATTCCAATTCAAAGTTTGAAATAGATTAAAAAAAAGTATGAATTATACTGACTATACATGTACATGTTTATTTCTATTAGTTTACAGGATTGTAGTAATTCGGTACTGAAGTAATGATTCAAAGCTAACTTTGCGGAAGCACAACGATTCCCAGCTCCGTGATTTTATAATTATTGTGCTACACAATTTTGTGTCTTCATTATCGAGAATCGATATTAAATATTTAACCCTAGACCATTAACAATTTCGTCTTAAATGATGTTTGCGTAATATTCAAAACTTGTTTGTCGTCGTGGACAAATTGTAAGGCCATATTGGGCCGATTCGTATATTACACGGAAGGTACCGACCAATCACCAATCTCTCTCTTTCAAAGGCAGACGTACCCAATCCTCCGTGTGCCCAAACAGTTCTCCTCCGTTTTTATGTTAATAGATTCTCAGACGTTTGGAAACAAGCTTCTGGATAAAAACTCATTTTCAGGTATTAGATTCCGTTTCTTTAAAAAAAAATTGAATTCATCTTATAGTATGACCGAGACCTATTGTCAGTTTCCCAGTCAAAACTTTTTGGTTTTAAAGTTAATTTTGACTCGAAATGTAATGTGTCGTACGGGATGGAAGATTTCATATCTTAAGGGGTTAGCCATTTATTATTTTTACCCTCTTCTTTGAACAAAAACAAAATAAAGAATAAACAGAGATTGTTCATTTATATTTTTTTTTACAATAAAAATGTATACTTTTTGGAATTTTTGGTTATACTTTTTGTCCTTTTTAGTTTTATCAACTCTTCAACTTTTTAAGTTAGGGATTCTCAAAATGGTGGCCTCGAGCATCACTGAAGAGAAATTTATTGTGGAAATACACATCTGGTGCAGTACAATTGGTATCGTTAATGTTATCACTACCACTGGGTCGATACTTCTGCTGTTTGACTGGAGTCCGAGGGCATCGCCGTCCAGTAGCAAGTACTTCAGTACTGGAATGAAAATATGGATATTATGTTTTTGAAATCTGCTGTTTCAAAATCTTGGAATTATTTTTTAATAAAGGAATATGTCCGTGTTGATCTCATGGACATTATACCAATCAATTTGAAAAAAAAATCATTTGAAAACCACTAGACAACGTCCGTGCAATCATTGTTTACAAACAAATTCCTAGACTGCCAATAGTATGTTCAGTGATGATGAATTAGATTGTTAAGACATTTCTGGTGGTCTGTGTTATTAAAGAAGAGGCGAAGGGTAACAATGGTACATTCAAAACTCATTAATTTACTATGGAATACATTCGATCCTGTGACCTACTCTTTCAAAGTGTAAATCTGGGTATGCATATTATAATTATCCCTTCTAAATTAAAAGAACAAAGATTCAAGTATTATTTATAGCATCCAATATAATTGAAATGCAAACAAAAATCAAACATTATAAACGTTTCCGAAAACGTAACAAAAGAAAGATATTTTTAAAAGGTACTAGAATCAATTGAATAACAAGGACATAATTTTCTTTTCTGGATTACAAATAAAAAGAATGAGTTTATCATAACGATTCAAAGTTTGAACTTGATATTGTTTTATGGTAAAGACAATGAAGACAGATGAAAATACTGCTAACTATCAACAAAAATTCTCCACCTCATATAACATCCACCACCACTTCCGGCAGTGTGATCAATGTAAGGGGCGGTAAACGAGTTTGCAGTGGCACATGATACTCCGTTTGATACACCTCCGCATTGATTCTGATTATCATCAGTATACCACTCGTAGCAGAACTGGGTATTCTGCATCCATTGAGGAGAATCAACCGGGACAGATAACGTCCATTGCATTTGACATCCTTTCGAGCTACTGTCTGTATCGTCCCTATAGTAACCTGTGGATGTACCGACAGGGGCACAGAGAAGATGTGATGCTCCTCCATTACAATGGTCATCGCCAGTACCAACAGCAAGCCATTGGAAACAGACCTCAACATTTGCAAACCAATCATCATGGTATCCAATAGAATTAATACTCCATTTCATTTCGCAACCACCACCACGGCTGTCACTATCATCCTTGTAGTAGGTAGTCCATTCGTTTACATTTGCGCAAAGTTTGCTTGGCACACCGCCACCACATTGGTTACCATCACCATCAGCTTTCCATTCATAGCAAAGATTAGTACTAAAAAACCAGTTCGGAACTACAGAAAAAATGAAAATGGAGATTCAAAAGATTTTACATGTGCAGTATTAAAATTAAGAAAATCTTATTCTTTTTTAATACGTTATGAGGGTACACAACCATTTGTTCAATGTTGTTGTGATATTGATATAATAGAGTCAATTTAAAATTTCATGATGTCATTTATAAATCATTTCGATATATATATCCAAGACCAATTGTATAAACTTTTTTATAATCATTCGTAAGTTAATTTCAATTTGTAAATATGTAGATTTATCTAAAAATGGTTGTGCAAATCTTTAGATTGATAGATATATAGAAATACCTTACTGTTCAAAAGCAGTGCACATACATTCTTTCAAGTTTGTAGCTGAAATAAGTTCAACGGATAAGTACGGTATTATCGATATGCATTACAGTGGTTTCAACGAGGAAAAAATCAGTTTTATAAATGAGAAATAAATTTGGAAGGGGTATAAAAAAAATTGGCAAGTAACACACTGTCCACACTAGGGACTATATTTGTGGACAACGATAATCAAAGGACGATAACTGTGTACTCGGACCTAATAGGATAGAAAAAGTTGACCAATCCTAATATGTGTAAAAGGTAACGTACTTTCTTTATTTGGATATTAAAAAAATAAAGAATAAGAAATTTTTTGACAGATTTTTATTACATTGTTTTAAGAATTTCAGTTTCTTGCAGAGTAGATTTATGCTTTAAAAAGAAGGCATTTCGGTTGAATATTATAGGTGATAAAGATCACATTCAAATAGTAGTAAACAAAAAATCCAGAAAACAGCGCTTTTCTACCAACGATAGACTGATGGTCTGGCATCCAACATCAAATACGGAGTGATGGAATAAGGGAATGATCAATAAAATACACACTATTCTAAAACAGCGACAATTTCCTTTGATTATAACATTTGGTTACCGATACTACACGTCATTCACACACAAAAACAAGGAATTTTTTTAATTAATGTTGTTTTGTTTATGCATGTTTTCCATTCTCAATTTTATGTGATTTATTAATTAGCTTTACTATATAGTTGAGTTCTTTTCCTGCACTGATTTTTAAAGTATATAAAAATAAGAAGATGTGGCATGATTGCCTATGAGACAACTATCTACCAGAGGTTTTTTTATGACGTTAATATAAGCAATTATAGATCACCGCGCGGTCTTCAACAATGAGAAAAACCCATACCGTATAGTTCGGTATAAAAGGTCCCAACATGGAAAATGTTTAAGAATTCAAACATTAAAGTAACGGCCTAATTTTTAGCAATACAATTAACAAACAAAAAAAACCCAACGACAACCACTGAACTACAGGTTCCGGACTAGGGACAGGCAAATAAAGAATGTGGCGAGGTCTAAAATGTTTGTGAGCGCATGGTTTAACAGCACAACATAATAACAACTGTAAAATTCAGTTGCAAATGGCTAACCCAATAGATCGATAAGAAAACTATTAACGTAAAAAAAAACAATAGACACATAGCATAGGTATATTCTTGCATGTGCCACTTATTAGTAAACTGGGGGAAGATACACTAATTTGACTCAACCACGCGTTTATTTGCCTATTCTATGTCAGGAACCTCATTATTAGTTGCCTTATCTATGTCAGGAACCTCATTATTAGTTGCCTTATCTATGTCAGGAACCTCATTATTAGTTGCCTTATGTCAAGTCTTAATGTTTCTTTTTTATATGATAATTTATTAGCTGTTACAGTTTTAAACGCGAGACAATTCAGAGCATGTCTAATGTAGAGGAACAGATGCCTATTTTAATGTAGTAGAATGTGTGTGAACCTTTATAAATGTCCACTGGTTATTTGTATTACAGTGCTGTCTCATTTACGTTTACCACAAATACACAACTTTAGTACCCGCTACTCGTGTTTCTTGAAAACACTCTATACTAAAATTTTGTAGAACCAAACATATCAATCATTTCAGAGCATCAAAACAAATAGAACATAACAGGACGTTCATACTTGCTGAAGTCTAAGATAGAACTGAGAAATTTCAAGTTGGAACTCAGAGATGTCAATTTGGAAATGTGAAATGTCAAGTAGGAAGTGAGAAATGTCAACTTTGAACTGAGAAATGTTAACTTTGAAGTGATAATATCAACTCATAACTAAGACATGTCAAGCTGGAAACGAGAAATGTATACTTAGAAATAAGAAATGTCAATTTGGAACTGTGAAATGTCAATTTGAAAGTAAAAAATGTCAAAACGGAAATGAGAAACGTCAGTTTGGAAAGGTCTGTGAAAAGTACAAAAAATGACATAATTTTACTACCGGTCCTTCGTACTATTTACAGTACAAGAACTAAAAAAACTGCGTAGACAACTGCAACTTTTGTTTAAAAATCAGGAAACAATTTGTACAAGAAGTTATATTTGATATTTTGACATGTGATAAACAAACAAGCAATTAATTCATGATAAATTATGCCACTCCCAATAGAATACTTGTTCTTCAGACTTCATGTAAAAAGAAAAAGAAAACCTAGCGAGCGTAAACGTATTTTTCTTTTTTGTTTCTTCCAAAAATATTTTTTTTTTGCAAGCGATACTTAAAATTTGATCAGCGAAAGGCGTATTTTGAATATTATTCTACAAAACGACTGTTATGAGGAGCGAATAATAATTTTTAATCACAAAAAGTGTAATTTTTTGTGAAATGTGGGACGAGTGATGACATTTTAAAAATGAAATTGTTGATTTCATTTAACGGAGCGATTATTCGGGGAGTCTTCAGAGAAAGGCGGTAAATACTTTTAGTTTTGGTTTAAAATTTTTTGGAGCGAGCGAATCCGAAGAAATTACATGTATGAATCAATTGGGAGAGGTTCCTTCTTTAAGGGTCTAACTACTAAATGGACAGTCCAAATATCTCTACTTATATACCCCAGTTACCTTTGAGATAATATATATGGTAAGTATGATTATATATACATGTATATATATTAACAAAATACAATTAATAGGCAACAGTAGAGTACCGATGTTCAAACTCATAAATCCATTTTAATATACAAATTAATACAAAGAAAACTGAGGGAATTCAGCATGAACTACAAACGGAGTGAGACCGGGTGTGTCGACAGGATAGCCGTCTTACGACAAAAGAGATGATTTCAGCTTCCCAATTGTGAACTTTCCATTTCTATGTAGCAACATTCCAGCAGCGCCTGCATACGTAGTATATATCTTCTAGTTGATACGATATTCTAGGGCTTGTATTTCCTATCATGATTTCCTTGATAAAGGGTTGCTGCTCACAAGGAAGCTATTAAACCAAGATTTTCAAGTGGTGAAGTTGAAATCATCCCTTCGTAAATTTTGCGGACGCCATCACGAGTTGGTTGACCGTTATGGAATATCCGTCTCACAGATGATAGCGGATATGTTCCAAATGTCGTAACTACAATCCCGTCAACACCCGACAACACAATAAATAAACTCATCATAGATACCACCAGAAGTCATCATGCGGTCATCAACATTATGGATATGCAATATAAATCAATATCA